TTATAATTCTTGGTGTGGTGCTTACTATTGTCGGGACCAAGGTTAAGTTCGTTACTGAGCTTCGTGGGGGGTTTCGTTGTGACTACAGGGGGCATTTTGTTAATTTTTCTTGTGAGCAGGATAACTTTTGTATGTGTGGATGGAAGTTAATGAAATTTGATAGGCATGTTACTGTGGTGGTCTCCAAGATTGAGTTCAAAGATGAGAGTCGTGGAAGTCGTTATCGTCCCCGTAATAGGACCTTTTGTGTTTAGAAATCCCCCCACCTACATCTGCTTGGAGACAGCCGACAGCTGGATATAGCCGGGGAACCCCATAATGGGATGGGATCAAATGATGTTACATTGAGGGATTGTACTATAACTTCAGCAGGGGGAGGATAGGTTGGACATATGTCAGGTTATTTTCTACGGCCACACCAAGTAATTGCTATGGATGACGTCCACTGGAGACCATAAATCTAATTACCTTAAATTTAAGGCAAGCGCGCAATAAAAACACGAAGGGCCGAAAAACGAGATGCCTAGATTTGGAATATACTAACTGTAGAAGTACAAATGTTAGGACACAAAGAACACAAGAAACAAGTCTTCTATTTGTCATAAAGACAAATTAACAAAACAGCAGTAGTCGCCCTGTTCTGATTCTTTCCTTTATAACATCTTCTCTTATTATATTTTGCGGCGCTGTCGTGACACTTTCAACACAGTAAGAATTTCTTGAACGTTTTTTTTCCCAGTAACAGTCCAAACTCAAATAACGTAGGGGGGGGGGGCTAACACGGGTGACGACGCATCTGTATAATCTGCGGCAAACCGTTTCAGGGTGTTCTGTACCATAAAAATAGTACAGAGATTCTTTTGTTCTTTAGACCAAATTGATTATTAAAAGAGTGAAGAATACGCATGTTAATTTCTCTAGAACGATGTACCTCTGACGAAGACATGAGATCTCCGACCTCTAGTTACTGTTAAGTTTATTTTATTTTATTTTACAATGTGAGTTTACATGACCACCTCTTTGCACCTTATTTGAAATCATAATTTTCCTTTCAAACACCAGCCTTCTATAGTTCCTCTTCTATTACCATAATGAAAAAGTAGAGTAACTGACTTGTTCTTTATAACCTTGAGTAAGATAGATCACGATTTATTGTGTTCATCACATTTAAATATTGGGTCTTACTACCGAAGTATGTGGTAAAGCATTAAAAATGGCTGGGTAGAGACAACATAACAGTGCCTTATAATACTGTACAAGGTGAAATGAATGTAAAGACTCGCACTAATGAAACACTGCCCTCCTGAGACACTGTGTGACCTGAATTGTCACACTGCAGCTGAGCACGGGCGATAGATTTACAGCTCAGCGAACAGACAGCAGTTCCATCAAATAATTGGAGTGGGCACATTACTGTAAGTCTCTTTAGATTCGCGGGGCCTAAAGTTCGCGGTTTCGGGAAAATGGACAATCCGCGGTATTTTTAGATTCGCGATGTCTCCTTGGCTATTTTTCAAAGAAAAATTTGTAAAGTGTATATTTAAAATAATAAAAGTTCGTGTTCCGGCATTTATCTCCTAAAACGCGGCGCAAAAATTTGTTTCGTGCACCGCGCGAGACTGCCGGCGGTAAAGCTGACAATCGATCTGACGCACGTGTAAACAATTTTCTTTGTTCGAAAATAAGCGCTAAAATGCTATTTTCCACGACTACACATCGATACTCTAGTGAAGAAATGCATAATCGAAAGAATATATATATTACTAAGCAAATTTCTGCCGTCTTCGGCGAGATTTTGAACCCGGAAGTATGCAAAGGTCGCCTTCGATTTTGTAGGCCCACGGTGAGCGTTTCTATCCAGCAGAACAACAAGAAGAAAAAAACGCCCGCAAAGCAGGGCGCAAAAGATAACCAACTAACATTTCCCAGGTACCAGCCGTTATATTTTTCATAAAAATACTTGTAGATATGCCCGATGTTCCCGCAATTTTCAAGCGCCCGGGCGCGCATGGCCGGCGCTCTGCACGCATAGATTTTTTTCGGCGGTACACGGTTGACACGGCCAGTGCCGCAGTATCGCGATTCGGTGTCTCATAATATTATAATTTTTGACATCAGTATAAAAATTGGGTACTCAACATTTGCTAAGAATAAAGTTGATTTGCAGTGATTTGTGAATCGCGTGTGTTTGTGTTTCGCTTACCGTGGTGAATGCATGTGGGGAGGGGGCGCACTTACGCAAAACATATTCGCGGGGAAATAGATTCGCGGTACAAAGGTCCCCGCGAATGCCGCGAATCTAAATATACCGCGGAAATTTGTAGACTTACAGTATCATGCAGGGATAGCATGGATCTCATGGCAGCAGTCAACTCTGCCCTTCTGCATGGAACTGTCAGGATGATGTGGATAAGCCATGTTTTCATTCACAGGATTCCCTCCTATTGTGACTATAAGCCTTTTGACTGATGTGTTTACTGGAACACCTGCAGGTACATTACGTGGATGGAATGTAACATTTCAGTCTGGGAGTCAGACATGGAAGAGAACCTAGTGTTAGGGAAATCCTCCAGCAAAAGCCTCATGGGAAATTACTGGCAATTGTATTCCAATGAACAATGAACAAGCATGGCTGTAGATAGGTACATGTACATAACCCCATACTCTGATGGCACAAACATGTCAGGCACTGAAGGAGGGTGTGAACTGCAGAATTATTCATCCCTGCATATGTGCCCAGGACAGAGATTCCTAATACCCCTCCAATCATCCTTTGTAACAGTAGTGTCAACCTAATCTACCAAATGGACATTTCACCCCAAGTCCCAGTATTCTATGACAAAAAAACTGCAGTAGAAATTAGTCCTTTCATCAATGTCGTGACATACCATGCTTTAAATTATAATATACTCTGAGACATTACATCCATGAATCATTCCCACATGGCAGGTTGTCATAATATTGGACATATACACAGATCTTACCTCTTTTTATACTTAACATGATAAACTGTACATCCAAAAGTGCAGTTACTGGTCCAAGATGAGGTTCCACATTTAATACTGTACAAACTTAATGCATACAATGATATACATAAAATTGACACCAGAAATTCAATGAGTATGCCAAAATTAATATTTACGTGAAAATGTCTGCCAGATTTTGGATGTTGAATGAAATGGGTGAGAGAAAAAAAGGCTTTGAAGTTCATATATTTAGCAAGGCCAAGCTCCCTCTAGTTTGTATTTCTCACAAACAGTACCACATCAATCAAGTGTAGTTCCTGACAGGAGCTTCTGTGTGTATTCCACTGTGCTTCAAAGCATGTCCACAGAATGCAAAATTCTGCCCATAAAGAGCTCAACCTTGGCTACACAGAAAACCCATGGCTTTACCTACATATATTGTACCAAAGATATGTTACAATACTACATTGTTTTACACAAAGCCCCTCGTGAAAATAACTATTTTGATATACAATGTATCATGTATGTGTCAAGTTTGTTTTCCAAAATCAGCTTTCATTTGGTCGAATTTGTATAATTTTGCAAAACCACATATGGCTTTGTGGGTGATATTTCTGGTTGTCTTGGAGAACCCATATTAATAGTATATACTAGAGGCACAAATTTCAATACTCCTCAAATTACAAAGTGTATACGGTTAGAAAACAGGTCTCAAAGCACAGTCCGAGATTTTTTTGCATAAAGGTAATTTGTGTTACCAAAAGCTTTTGTCCACAGAACAGCTGTACCATTGATTACAACCTACTTGTTACAATGATTAGCACTAATGATGGGCTATAAATGGTACAGGGGACATGGACTGATTGTTGTATAACAAGGCAAGCAAAATACTAAGCACTCATTCCAGTCTCAACTGCCTTCTGCATTTCTACCAGTTTTTAATGTTATCCTTCCAAGTTCACCCTTACCAAGGAGCTTAAAGATATTTGCTGAGACCAGAGCCTTTTGATGTTTAATTTTTAAGGTCAAAAGAAAAAGGGTCTGAAACTGACGGATTCAGATCTAGAATATATTCAGTTTTTTTTATCTTACACTTAACTGGTTTGTCCTTTAAGACATGCATCTGTTGTCATGAGATTACATCCATGAATCATTCCCACATGGCAGGTTGTCATAATTTGGACATATACACAGATCTTACCTCGTTTTATACCTAACATGATAAACTGTACATCCAAAAGTGCAATCATCTTTCAGCCCTTGTTGTAGCAAAGACCTACAGATCAAGATGAACTATCTCCATCTTCACTTTTTCCTTCCAGCTTATCCGCTAGATCTCTCTTAGCATCCAAACCATATTCTGCACTTGAACTTGGAGCCTGTCGTCCATTAAGGGCTACCTCCAAGGCTGTACCTGTCAACATATCCTCATCAGTCAGGCCAACAGAAGTACCTGAGTGTATGCCTGCTGCTGGCAGCAGGGATGAAAGCAGTGAGATAACGAAACTCTGGGGGCTGAAGGATACAGGTTTGACAAAGAATTCTAACCATGACATCTGAAGGTCCCTAGATAGTCCCCCATTTATCTTTGTACAACAAGAGCACAAAGAACACAGCCTTGCAGGGACTCAGCTTTAGTGTTACTACATCAATGGAATGCCAGGAAGTTATAATCTTGATCAGACAGCATCAGATCTTCTAACAAATCTGTTAAAAATAAGCCACACAAGAGAAATACAAAACTAGAAAGTAACAATTGCAGGAAAAATATAGTTTATATACTAGTATATAACCTTCAAATGGTCTAGCTTAATGTAAAAAATACTGTCCCGTTTACTCTTACTCAAACACATTTATCCAGGCATTTATCCATGTTTTAGTTGAACCAACCTGATGCCACTGATTTCCCTGTGTGCAAAATTACTGATGAGCTATCTCATAATCTAAGCTTCTTACTAGCAATGACCCATTATACAAGGGTAATTTAGAAGAAGCTAAGGCAGCATAAAGTGTTATCATGCACATGCAAAGCAAGGATTTGATCGTACATTAAACTAATTTATTACTTTCCATTGAGGCATAAAATGTATTATATGCTTCATAATCATCAACCTGAGAAACGATAACACCTAAGCGTGGCAGAGCATGGCAATCATGCAGAATCAATAAAATGAGAGATAAAGTTGTATGAAAGGTAGTGGTCTTACAGCACTGCCTAAACATTCTGCCCCATGCACTGGAAAGCCATTACTTACACCTCACGCCCTATCTTCTCCTACCAGACCTGTAACATAAGCCACCTCGCAACAGCTGGCTTGTTCCACAGCTGGCTTGTTCCACCGACCACATTTAGATGCAGCAGAGCACACAGCCTCCTTGTGAAAGGATTGTTTTATGATCACAAGCCTGTACCTGGCATTATTTTCAGAAAAGTTATAGACTTAATGGGCCTGTAATAGAAGCATGTGGATGGGTACACACCGTCATGTTGTTCAATCAGACACTCTTCAACATGCTCAATACATCAAGTACTTAGGTCTGGAGCAGTCTTTGACTACATTTTTAGGCAAAATGAGATATCTGGAGACTATGGTGATCAATTTTGACAAAATTATTACTGATTTAGACAAAAAATTATTACTGATTTAGACACTAATAAATTATTGATTTACTTTAATACTTCCTTATTGATTTTGACACTATCATTTTTGCCATTGATACTACACATGTACTGTATGTCTTGCACATTTCTTGGGTTCAGCAATACAGGAAGCAAATCTTTGACTAAGTTTGCTAATTGCGGACCAAAGCAAACTTAAGCACTATTCCAAGAAAAAATTTAAGATATCTTTGCACTTTCAGTCTTAGACAATTATCATTAGAAAAATATCAGACCGAACTGTGTAGCAACTTTACTTATATTATGAGTGATTGATAACCCAAGTCCCCTGTGTTCTCTCAGAGCAGGTGGATTGGATAAAGCAGAAGTCATAAGGGAGGAGGTTAATTTGTCGATGAACCATCATGAGATCCATAATGGGCAGGCCTGGACATTATCTGAAATGTAAATACAGGGAAATACTGCCTCTAACCTACTGCTGACCTGACCTAATCAAGATAACCTGAATGTCTCTGGGTACTCATGTAGGCAAAAAAGAAATTTCACCCACCATCAAGTAAGCTTTAAACCTGTTTCACTACATGATACTGCTGTTCCAGAGGCACTCTAAGTAGCTACAGTAGATGCTAAGAGTTAATGACTTTGCAATAATGTTGATCAACCTTTCACTACTTCCATCAGCAGCCAAGGATATTGCAGATATATACAGGCTCGTAGATAATATTCTGCCTAGTCTGGCGGCAAACTTCCATCACATTTCAACACACTAAACCTGATGCCTACCTGTGGATGTGGCAGTGCTTGGAGAAGCAGGAGCCTGTTCAGGCTGTTGTGACTCAGACAAGACCCAGTCATCCTTGGCCGGAGACACTGGTGTGTGAGGGGTGACAGAGACTGTTGGAATGGCTGGTTGTTCTCCGGCACTCCCCTCTGGCAGACCAGGTTCTTCAGTTGGGGTTCCTGCACTGCATGTTGCCTGCTCTTCTGTAATGGTGCTTGTGGCTAGGAGAGAAGAACACCCAGATTTTAAGTAATACGAGTCAAACTGTACCACTGGTCACAAGGTTGACATGATGGAAGCCCCACATTTTAACTGATAAGTAATATTACTGCATGGTCAGGTGTTCCGAATTGTACCTTTTCACATAACTTATGAATAAAATGCATTAGTGATCAAAACTACATAAAAATGCTAATTTATTAAGCAACCAGTATAAAAGGGTCATCTGTTATCATTTTGAAGGAAAGCTCATCTGTCACCTACAAAGACTTTCCTCTACCAAGGAGTTACCCCAATGATTAGTATACTGAGTACATGTATATCGGTAGTACTAGTAGTGTAGTAGTACATGTATTAAGTATTTCACTAACACAGGGTTCTGCCAGGTACCTGGTCTGTAATTCTGTTATCTGATGGAGTTTCGTTGCTCAGGATGAACAAAAACTATGGTAATTTTGTAGTCTTCATCATCAAATTTTATACTACACATTGTATATCATATAGCATATGGGAAGGATTAAAAATTAGATCAAAGAATGCCACAGGGTAAGTCAATAATGCTGACATGACTGAAAGAACAAGCAGACCTATATCATATGTTCACCAACATAATTTCTAATCGGGTGCATATGAAATGATAAATGATGGGACCCAGATGAAGGTGAGGTGGAGGTCAGGCTGATGGCTATGCCTATATTGACCCAAGTTGTGCGGTGATCAGACTGCTGATTTTCAAAGGATGTTTTACCTTGTCTATAACATATAACACCCTAGCAATGGAAGGGTTAAACACCTTTTCTTTAAGGAACATTCTTTGATGTACAGTAATTAATAATAATACTTTTACTTTCTGCATACATATGTATGTAGTGAATTTTATAATTGACAAATGCTGGAGCATCAGTGGGGCTCTAGACTTAATGACACAATGCATTCACTAGCAGAATATTGTAGTCAATACCCACTGTTTAATGACTGAGTCCACATTATTGCTTGTACACAAGAAAGAAATACTCTATTTTGAGACTAAAATGGGCACAGGAAATACAACCCAATATCCATCCATTTTCAGCTCTTTTACCCTCCCAACACCAGAGACTGAGAGTAATGTTAGGAGCATCTGAAAACAGATGGATATCAGGCTACAGGAAATGAGTCTAGTATTTCCTTTACATTTGGATTTTGATGTGGGCTGAAATAAGAGGATCACATACATTTGTAAGGGCTGACAAAATTTATTCCGAACAAAGAGTTACTTTTGACTGCATCCTCATTAAACATTAATGCCACATAAATTAAATATTTCCCCTACACCCACAGATTGAATGGCCAATGCTACATGTTACTATTCTGTACCCTGAATGCTGTACATGTGTTCCTCTTAGCTAATAATAATAATTCAAGATGGCTCAATTGTGGTAGTAAAAAATGTCAAAGTCATTTCTCTATACATCAGACTAGATTTTCTATTTGACATTTTATTTTAAAAAGAGTAATTTCGTTTTATATCATTCTTCATTTAATAGGTCTATTGTACTCTTGATTTTATTGATTGTATACATGTAAGGGATGCCAGTTTAAAAGACCATTTCCCAAGGTTTCTTATTTTGACCCTAAACCTGCTGATTTCTGATGGGGTCATCTGTAATGTGTGACAGTCTATGACTAATTAATGTCGCTCCATTGTTATGCAGATGACAGTCACTACTGCTACTTGATTAAACCTCAGCAAGCTAAGCAAACCCTTTAGTAAATTTTTTCTTGGCCATGGTTATAACATATAATGTTTCCTGTCTACTTTGAAGAAAGCCTGGGAGGGCAATTTGTTCTTCCCAAGAATTGTTACAGCAAAAATTGTTACCATCAAATACAGTACAGGCCTCTTGAATAACGACAGGTTAACATGACAAACATGAGTTGTTTGAACATTTACCAACTGCTGCTGCGTGCCTGCAAAGCCTATAAATGTTACACCAGTTGGCAGATATGGCTACAGAAATTGAAGGAAAAGGAGAGAATATAAGAGATTCATTGCAGATATAACATGCACCTATTTGGGAAAACGTTGCCAAGATATTAAATGTGCACGCTACCTTTTTCCACACTGGCTTTAGCCTGTAGTGGGGGAGTTGTCTCGGTATTGCTCTTCTGCGTTTTCTGAGGGTTCTGTGCGACTTTCTCATCCTGTGAGTCCTGATTTCTTGTGGTCTGCATGGACGGACTCCTGGCGAACTGCTCCGCCACTGGTGGGGAGGACGGGGTAGTGGGGACGGACTGCGAACCAGTCTGCCTCTGCGCATCAGCTGCACCTTCTACAGCTGCTGAAGCACCCCCCTCCCCATCTGTCAGGCCCCCCTCCCCACTAACCAACCCTGTCACACCAATGGTCTTCACTGCTGTGCTATCCTCATCCTTGGCAGGTGTAGCCTCCATCGCCTCTGTTGCAGCACCCACCTGCCCTTCCTGTATGCCCTCCATTGCTTCTGTATCCTTTACTACCAACGTTTCACCTTGTTCCTGATGCATCTCAGCTCCCGTCTGTTCGCCCTCCGCGGCAGTACTGATAGCTTGTGTTGGCTCATCATCGCCCATAACACGGTCCCGCGGCCCGTCATCCCTGGGGCCATCTTCCTCTCCCTGTGTACCGTTATTATCCCCGCTAACGCCCCCGCCTGCCTCACTCGCGCTTACTCCTTCCCCTTCTGTGCCATCCACCACTATCTGTTCCAAGTCTTCTCCATGTTTAGCCGAGGTTGACTGTGTTTGACCACCTCCCAGATTTTCGTCCACAACCTTCGAGCGGTTTTCCTCCTCCTCTTCCCGGGGCGATCCCTTCTCCGCATCGCCGCTAGCCACTGCTGTTTCACGGGCGCCTACAAGGGCGGATTCTCCCCCGTTTTCTGCCATTGCACTGACTCTAACTTACGCCAAAAAACTAGTAGGTTCTCAGAACATAGTTATGTTCATTGTCAGCATTTCTTCGTCAGTGACGCAACTTAACACGGCTAGATAATGTAATTTTGTCAGTCGCGAAGGTCGCCGACTCGATCGAGTACCGCCATCTTGTTTTGGGCTCCCATCCCCCATCTCGCGCTTACCGAGATCACATGACGTCATACTCATCTCGCCAACCCGGCCTGGCTCAGGTGAGGTAAATTCCACACCTGTGCGTGTGCGAACCACCTCTTGTGTCAAACAGACATCCCATAAATTAGGTTTACATTTTCATCAAACGCATAAAACGACAATCTATCATATAAACACATAACTTTAGAACGACAGTCTATAAATTCTGTGAAATATCATACCATGCAAATAACAAGAACGGTTTGCTTCAATCTTTTTACAGTACCCTGGATAAGTTCTTGAGGCACAAAATGCTTATCAGTCATACCGAAGAATGAGTCATGTTTTAGAGTAGGATTGAAGTTTTGTGCGCCAAGACCAAAAAGCTGATCAGGTCACACCTAAAAAATGCTCTTCAGGCTAAGGTCGCTTCAATCCCGGAATTTGATTGTTTTCAGAAAGCGATCTGGACCGTGATCAGGGCAAAGGCAGTAGCACAACAGCTTTGCAGCTCCTGAAGTTGGACGGCGGTGGACACAACTTTTATTCTAAATCCATTATATCATGCATCGGACGGTTTTGCAGTCGATGGAGTGTAAACACCTTGCGAATTTTAAATGAGTAACATGAATGACGCCATTGGCACTGTGCGTCATGGGGAAGTCTTATAATATAGCAATGCCATTGGAGTCCCTCTAGGACTATACCAAACGTCACGTTTTTTTTACCAAGCGACCATGCTGGGCCAATGGTGACAAGGCTGGGCACAGTGATATTAGCTAGTTAGTTTCCGTAGTTCCAATCCCATACTAGTTGGAAAGCTTACTTTAAAGTAAGCGGGAAGTATGTGAGCCGAGAAAAACAAACTAGATGACACACAGGCTGGATGCTACCCCTACCAGGATCGGCAAGAGGAAAGCCGCAAGTGCTCACTCCGATCCCCCTTTTCGACCTGCATGAAAACCCATGACAAGACATAAAAAAAGAACGTGTCTGTAGTGGGGGCGTTGTCGCGGTATTGCTCTTCTGCTGAGGGTTCTGTGCCACTTTCTCGATCCTGTGTGCAGATTCCTTGTGGTCTGCAGGGACGGGCATCATATACCCTATAACTGGCACACAGTTATCCCATCTCTGAACCTAGGATTAAGAAAATTGGCTATGCAGTTGCCCCATCAACTTGCCCGAAGCCTCGATCTGTGTCAGCTTTCCGTCATTCGTCACCCGGCATTATCTAGTTTCAAATTTCCCGCCAGGTATTTACCTTCCCGTCATGCACTATTAAGGAGTATCACGTGATCAAGCACAGACATGGCGGAGCGGTCATTTCAAGTTTGGGAATAACGGCGACTTTTGCACTCATCCATTTTGCGCTACTTCTTGGCGTTACATTACTACAATCACCATATCAACACTTGCTTCAGTGGCCTGAAAGACATTCTGCGTGCCGTGCAGAACGCTAATGGATCCAGAAAAGTGGTACGTGTCCTGTAAACTGTTGCATGTTTGTCCGCTTGTCAAGATAATCTGGTTCGCGAAGAAGCTGACTTGACGAGATGAGACTCTGAACTTGTAAACACGAGACAACTGGCGATGTTCTTCATAATTTGTTTCCCATGTTTTCTTTCTATCGAAGGATTGCTCTCTGTAATGTGCACCAAGGCTTGTGATTTGGGAAAGCAGGTGTCACAACCTTGCGACCTGAGTTGAACGTACTACGAGTACGAAGCGTTCCGTCGTCTGAAATTTGGGAAAATTATTTTATAGATTTAGTCCAGACTCCAACGCAAAAGCTTCAACATTTCCAAGTAGATATATCGGATTAGCGAGGCTTATCCCTGTCGAAAATAAGACGTTTAGTTTGATTGTATACGTATTCAGTTGCTGTAACTGTTTGATTATTTTTGAGGTCGTGTAGAGTTCAGGAAGGGCATTTCAGTTCCGTAAACATTGCGAATACGAGTTTGTTTACTTTGGCAACTCCGAGGATCGAAAATATTTTGATTCCAGCTTTCTATAAATTTTAGACTGCCCGCCAAAATCCCACCCACCTGTCGACCCAAATTCCGTTAAATCATTCAATACCAACATCGGAATCATTTTCTTGTATTTCGTTACAGGCTGCGTTCAGTGTTTGCACCGTGCATGACAATTTTCTTTCATCGTGTACAAAAGCAATTCACTTTCATTGTCTGCACCGGAGAGATCTGTGACCAGATGTTTCTTTTGTTACCTCTGCCGTTTCTGAAACACCTATCTACTCGAATTAAGTCAAACTGCTACAATTGTAAAGTTTCCATGATTTGTCAAGGTTGCCACTTGGCAGAATGATGCAAAGTGACAAAAGGAATGTCGGTGGTAACAGGTGTTGTTGCCTGTTATTGTTACATTGTGTTGCCACTTGTTTCAAGCTGTAACCAGATCCTCTGCACACAATGAGAGGGATATGGAATAGAATACACGTAACCACCTCCTGTAATAGAGCGTACAAGAAGGAGATATGTATGTTTAATCCCTAAACACCTCTGTTCCAGACCAGTGCAAGAGTTTTGAGCCAGAAGCTCATTGGTTGGAAGCAGCCATGATTACTGGGAAATCCAGAGCACCAGCATCTCTCTATAGGTACTCAGACTGCAAGAACAAATTTCTATTATAAATATCCAGAATATCAAAAGGAGTAAACTTGAAGCATGGCAAGTGCTGATGTATCGAGTGAGGACGATGATTATGGGTCTCGCCAGCGCTCCAGGAGGGGACGTCGACTACCGGACCCCCCATCACCTCGTAGCAGTCGACGCGGCATCCTTAGGACATCTGCATCAGACAACATTGTAGTGGACAGAGTCGATAGGATAGCTACATCATTAGAGGTATGACAATGTCATCACTAAACTTGTTCATATATATACATTTCAAAGATACAAAGAAAAATTAAAGAGGTCATGGTCACTTGAGCATGATGTGTTTTCAAGTACATTTGTAGCAAGTTGCACAGTGAGGCTTAGCTATGGCTCGCATTTTTTAGCCAAATTATTTCATAACATCAACATACATCATGTATTTCCAAATATGCCAAGTTACGGTGCTAATTTTTGCCATTGTCAGTTTGATTGTCACAGCTTATTCAGGTCAAATAAAATAACAGCACAAAGTTCTGCCTCTTTTTTTCAAAGAGGATCTGAAAATCTAATCTCCATTTTCTTGATAACTTCCTGGATTTAGATTCAGTGAATCACAGTGACACATGATACTCCTTTTTCTGAACAGGACACCAACCGCAACCTGAGACGGATGGACAGAGTGCTGGGGGAGTATTCTGAGGTCTCAGAAGAACAAGGGACAGAGATAGACAGGGTAGGGTATAAAACTACTATATTGTAGTCTTTGTATGTTTTAGTACATGGTTAGCAATCCTGCTTCTTGGACCAGAAGGTCGAAAGCTTGATTTCTTAGTTTAATTTTCTATTCCATTTTGACATGTGGATCATAAAATACTGTTTTGTAGCTGCGAGGCAGACTTGCCCGCTCGGCCATGCGGCTGCAGGAGGAGAGAGTAAGGAGAACAGGCACCACACGAGGTTCCACCATGAGACCCAGTGAGCTGGACATGGCAAGCTCAGGAGGTCAGTTCTGTATCTGTGTCACTCAGTTGAACTGTTCTTTGACACAGCATACTAGCTTTGCAGGCTATGGCAGGTAGTTTCACATTGAATGGCTTGTCATGCCTAAGTCTTGTATATAACAAACATAATTATAACTTATCTAAGATGCTCCTGAATCTTCAGAAAGCTTTATCTTTCCAAATGTGAATCACGTTGATTCAGAACCAAACCTTAAATCTGAGCATCATTAGAAGACTCATCTCTATAGATCATATTGACCCTGACATCTCCATATAAGCTATGTGTTTATTTCCAAACTGAAGGTTTATTTTTCTTACTTTACATTTCCAGAAACAAGAAGATACAGACCAACGTCACCATTGAGAAATTATGAGGTATGGTAGGAGTAGGAGTTTCCCCAAATGACTTCTCCTTCATTTTATGCTTAAATCTGGCAGCTTCTCTCAATATTTGCATTTACCTTGATCATCACCATCTTATCATGATTTCTTTCAGCCCTCTGTGCCAAGAAGAAGAACTGGGTCAACAGTCAGGTTTCTCAATGGAGGAGATGATGATGTAAGGCCTTCCCATTCATATCTCTCCTTGTAACAAGTAGCCAATGCATCAGGATCCATTTGGTGCCTTTAGTGCTAAAGGCTTTTAGACAAATCCTCAGTAATGTCCTAATGTTCTGCAGATCCATGAAGTCCACCAGACTGTCCGGGACCTGACATCAGACCAGCTTCGAATGGGGGAGGACTTGGAAAGGGAAATAGATAGGAGATCGAGGTTGGTTGGCTGGTTTACTCTGGTAGGAAAGTTGTGACAGTTATCAGTCGATGCTGTTAGTCATCCATATAATGAAAGTTTCATGCTTCTTAGAAAAGACAGTTTGAGAATTGGGCATTGTTCTAGTAGATATTATCAAATTCAAAAGCTATACAGAACTTCTCTACCAGAACAGGTAAAGACTAAAGGTAAATAAGCAATGATTTTCCTCATTCTTCCAACGCACTGTGTATGTGTATTTGCTGTATGCTACATGGATTGTTGAGATTAATGAATGTCTGTACAACTTTTGTTTTCCAGAGCAGAGCAGGAGACACAAAGAACCTTACGGGAAATGTCAGACAGTTTAAGGCGATCCTCCACGTCTGAGTCTGTAAGTTGAAAAGTTTTAATTTTCCACAAACCATTTTTTTCTCTCCCTATGTAAAACTAAATGTTTGCCAAACATTGTTATTTTCTGCACATTGTCGCTTTATCATCCAGGCCTCGGAGCGAGTAGACAGGAGGTTACAGCAGATCCAGGACGACATGAAGGCCCAGCAGAGGCAGCTGGCACGCAGACAGGAGGAGACAGTCAGCATGTCTGATAGACTACGAGAGGTGAGTCTGATTGCAGCACATACTGAATATCTTAGACATGTCTGTTTTAGCTTTCTTCTTATTGGCTGGACATTGTCCTGTACATCTTAAACCTGGTGTAATCTGACATACTGATATTCCATGTAGGTGCAACCTTTCTGGCTATCTTGTATCTTTGTATTTCTATAAACATGTCTCAATGGTTGGGTACTTGGTGTGGTACTTTGTTGCTTTGTTAACTCTATAGTCTTTTGATCCTGTTGCTTGCTCTCAGAATTGATCAGCGTTCTGAAGTGTAAGCATGCATGAAGAAACCGCATG